CCAAGAGCCACTCAATTCTTCTTATTCCCTCTGTGTTTAACAGAGGAATTTCTGAAAAATACCAATACTTTCCTTGTTGCAGCAAGTTTAGAATACAGCAGACAGCAAAGCAAAAGTGCACCGTGTCGTTCTATTGTCTGCTAGTCTCTCATAAGTGTAAAAATCCAACAGTTCAGCAGTGCTGCACATTGAAGGAGATCATGAAACTGCGTGTATGAAACTGTCTTCCATACAGAGGTGAATTCAGCGCTGCTCAGTCGAGGGTCAGAGCGTCACTGGGACACCTGCTGCGCACAGGACCGACCTCTGGGGCCGCAGGTGGACAGGCGGGCGTTTTCACACATATTCTTCTGAAGCAGAGAAAGTCAAAGATGAATTTACAGCTTCTTTAAACGTAAAAGTAGGTTTATAGTCTAAAATCTAAAAGATTTTAGTGAATCTAAAAGACTCACTTTTAGATTCAGAATATTTCTTGAACTGGAGCCAAAACAACTTCACATCTATATGTTTTAACTTAATTTGGCATCACTGACAGAATAAAAGAAAAATTACAACTTTGCTTTTCCACCTCCAGATCATAACATTTGTAATTGTTAGCTTAACTTCCAAATTTTAATTTGACTGCAGCTGCCTGCTCATTGTTTTCACCACAGTGTATTTGAAGCACGCCGCTGAGAAACAGCCGCTGTCTCATTGAGCAGGTGACTTGAATAGGCTGTCAATTTATTTTAGTGTTGAACTGTATCCACAGCAACAAGTGTCACTAGGGTGCCAGAGCCAAAAAAACCCCAAAAAACACAGCAGCCGGGCTACAATTATGAGACTGCAGTCAAACTTGTGTTTTGTTATGAGAAGAATTGCACCACTCTGCTCTTTATCATCTTTCGTTTGTGCTACAACAAAATAAAATCAGTGGGTGTTGTCTAGTTAAAAATTCATTCATCTTGCATTGTCCTGCACATTTCCTTGGTCTGTGTTCTACAAACTAAAGAATGAGAGCCAATTAAACCGAACTAGAAAGAAAGCAGCCACGTGCACGCCCACAGGATGGCCAGGATTTAAGTGAATGAAGCTCGTTAAAAGGCCTGAACACTCAAAGACGTTCAGAGAAGTTTCTGTGCAGTCTGTGATAGCAAAGGCGCACAATATAAAATAACATTTCAAGATAAATATGTTTCAGCCATTAAACTATATAGCCAAGCACAGTGATGCTGATATGTTTATGGGGCTTGTATTACGAATAAATGGGTCAGCTTACGCTTCAATTAGCTTAGCCACAGTGCTGGCTTGTATATTTGACAAATAGCAAAATGGTTTAACTTGAAACACATTTTGCCAGTGAAAAGATTAACTTTGCTAAGGTTGCTAGCTACAAGTAAAAGCTCTGACATCCAATAATGTTATATTTACAAAGTGAAAATGTGAGACTGAAATAATACAGCAGGTATTTATTCCAGTTCAAGTAGCTCTTGATATAGATTTGGCAGACTGATGCTGTGATATTGCCACACACTCTGTGGAAACTAACTTGTTGTGACTGCGTGGGAAAAGATTCACATGCCAGGTTGATAAAGATTAGTTTAGTAATTTGCTGGAATGTAACTTATTTAGCAAACTAACCTTTGGTTGACAAACTTATGTAATTTCTACTCTGAAATAGTAAATAAAATTTGCACAATTTGCTACACAAACTTCGATGGCTAAACTGCAACAGTTTGTTTCGTAAGTGTAGGCTGATCTGAGAACTTCAACTGGACTGAAAATGAAAAAGGACTGGCTGTGGATGGAGCAAGACCAAGAGGAGAGCTGAAGGAGGAAGAGGAAGAGGAAGAGGGCCTGCATCAGTGTTTTCTTTCAGTTTCCTCACAATACTCTGTGGGTTTCTATGACAACTTGGTGTCGCCAGCTGGGCCCATACAGGCAGAAGTAAGAGGTTTGTTTGGAAGAACGGGAAAAAGTATGCTGCTCTTCTTCCCTTCAAAGTAGCACCACTGCAATAGAAAAATACTTAAAAATCTTTCCAGGTTTTAAAGTTAGCATAGAATGCAACAATTAGATATTAGTAAAATGGTTCTGAGCAACAGATTGACTTTTTTCACTTTTTCTACTAAAAAAAAAAAACATTCCTGAAAGTGGATTTCACAGTAAAACATGTTCACAATTACCTTGATTACCCATATGTTGGGATTACATTCAGCTCAGTGTGTACATTGCAAAGAACACTACAGGGGGCGCTGTGAAATCCTGTTTCCTTTGAATCAGTTTTTACCGCCATGTCGAAGCTGACAAAATGTTTCCTATGAACTCAGCTGAGAATAGTTACCATTGGCACTGGACTGGGGTTGTCACGCGTGAACGGTAGTGTGACACACTTTTATGTAATGTGGACTCTGGTCTGCTGACCTAAACAAAAGCTTCCATATAAAATGCTCCGACTTTCTACTTCACCACAGTTATATCCATTTCTAAACTCTGATGTCTATTGAGGGAAAAAATGAGAATAAATGGCTTGTTTCGTACTGAAAATTTGCTGAAACAACAGGGCAACAAACCCTGATATGTACTAATAAAAAATGTCAGCGCACTGACGCCAGTAAATGAAATCATTTTTATTGCAAAAATGAAAACAATACCAATTATTAATCTACTCCAATTAGGCTTTGATTTATGAGGGAATGGTCATTGAAGGCTGTCTCATAAAACAACAATTCCTGCAAGTGAGTGATTCAACCAGGGCTACCCTGACTATGATCAATAGTGTGTAATCAGAGATGGGGATTTGAGTCTTAGACACGTCACAATGAGGTCACAAAACCAATTTGAGCTTGAGAGACTTTAGTGTCGTAAAGAAAGTTGTTTCTTATGTTATCTAGTTAATATAGAACAGCTGAGTAAACGATTCACGTCCCCTGATTTACCACAGAGTACACAAATAACTGGCTGTCATGAAAACGGTAGACACAGTGAGAGTCGCAGTACAAAAAACACAAAATCTCACCAATTAATTTTGGTCTAGTTTCTAGAGCAAATACCTTATTACACTTGAAATATGACTAATGAACTTAAAACTAACTTTTCAGTAAGATAGAGGCTTGTTTTAAGTAAATACTTCCTTAATATTGATGAAAAAGTACTAGTTCAAATTCACTTATAATGTTGGAAAGATGTCTTGTTATAAGTTTTAAAAAAATTGGCCAATGGAACGAGTACTTATTCATCAATATTAACAAATTATTTACTTAAAATATGCTTCTCTATCTTGCTAAAAAAAATTATTTCTTATTTCAAGTTTGCCAAGATGTTTGTACTAGAAACTAGACCAAACACTTGGTAAAATTGTGTTTTTTCACTCTGGTTGTAATGTTCAACATTGGTGTCAGTGACATTCAAAGTTAAGATAAAGTACATTTGATTCATAAGTCAGAGATTTTCCCAGACTGCGTACTATTTTATTTTACAACCTGTTCATGTTTGATGCTTCATGATAACAGCAGCAGGACGTGATACAGACTGAGCTCTGCGTCATCACTTCATGTCATTTCAGCACTAAATACACCTAACTTCACTCCAATTGTTTTAGTCACATACAATGTTAAGCTAACGTCATTACAAACACTTCCGGTCTTTCGAAGTAAAAGCTCTTCCTTTTTTTATTTAAGACACTTCACAGCATTTGATCCTAAATAACATTTTTGAACACAAACGCCAACATTAAGGCCTGTTAACAGCATTAACTGAATGCTTTCGCAAGAAGAAACGAACGTCCACGTGTTTTGAACTATATCCGTCCAATTATTGAGTTGATTAGGATGAATCTATAATTGATCATTGGCGGCAGCGTGTAGCAGTGGCGACAATTTAACTTTCTGAGAAATAAAACTATTTAAATACAACAAAAAAAAGAAAAGAAAAGAAAGTGGTTCTCTAACAGGAATTCACAATAAAGACTTTAAACGGGGATGCTGTGTTCAGAGGCGTGCAGACAGCAGGTGCATGCTGCATCTGCAGCTGATGCGGGTCGTGTGCCTCGCAGGCAGAAGCGGAGAGGAGAGTGAGGGTCTGCAGAGCGCCACAGCCTCATGATTAATGCGGCTTTTAGCTGCAGCGGAGCCTGCATGCCCCCTCCCGCCCCCCTACCCCCACCTCACCCTCAAAGCAAACTGGTCGGGGCTGCGCTCATTCATCCCCGAACCCTTCTTTACTCCATCAACCAAGACCCGGTGGCTGAGAGGCGGCTGCGGCCCACAGCCCATTCACTACATTTCTGCACTAAAAACTTCATCAGCGTAACCTCCGCGTTTCGGTCAATTTCACCTTGGTCCCATTGTGCGCCGGCCACCAACCGAACCAACGGGCGCGTAAAGGAAGTTTTTTCCCACTGCAAGTTGTCGGCGCATAATGCAATAACATAGGATTAAGGGCGAACTGGTGTATAAAACATAATAAAGGACGGAAACGAGATTTAATAAAGTCGCACACAGCCTGCTCTGGCCCCGAAGATTTTTTTATTTATTTATTTTTCCCGATGAGGCAGTGGCGGCATCCAACAGCGAAGCACATTGAAGAGATGAGAGGAAAACGGGGGTGCGGGGGGGTACAAAGTTAAGATTATCTCGCCTGATTATAAATTATTACGCAGGAAGTGCGGCTGGATCTGCAGGAGAAGGGGAGGGGGCGTCCCGTAACCACACACGCCAAAATGCAGCTTTTCTCCCGCCGAAAGACACAAACGACTCTGACCACTGTGTCAGTGGGAAGGAGTGGGGTGAGTGGGGTGAGTGAGTGGGTGGGGGGGGGGGGGGGGGGTCACTCCTCTTTAACCGCCAAGCACACACTCTCACACACGAGCGCAGTAGATTCACCAGCAGTAGTAGTGGATAATTCATTGCAGATGGAGAGGAGCCCCGCACACTGAATCCACAGGCGTCTAAAGTGCGCACTCTTTCTGCACAGCAGTCTTTCAGCGGCTCCGCATCACTCCCGGCCGTTTGCGCACTTACCTTTGCACTGCAACGAAACTGGGCACAGTTAGTTCCCATTTCGAGAAAAAGGCTGTAAGAATCCAGTCATCCCCGCGTTATCTCCCGCTGCGTTCCTCAGACATCCACAGTGTGTTTCAGCAGGGCCAGTAATCCCTTCTTCCATCCCGGGGAGAGCGCCCCCAAGCTCCCTTACATCTTTTTCCACATTTTCTTACAAAACTATGCCAGGCTTCTTTCAGCGCTTCTTCTTCTTCTTTTTTCCTCTCTTGCTCTAACTCTTCGGTTCTCTGCCCCCTCTTGTCTCCTCTCCCTCTCTGAGGTTGCCTGGTTACCTCTCTCTGTAGGCTGGATCAGACCGCCGGCCGGCAGCCAATCACAAAGCTGGGTTCATCTTAACCCCTCCGCTGCTGAACTGTCCTGATTTCCATCTTTCAAGGGTGGAAGAGGGAAGTGAGGAGGAGGAGGAGGGAACCAAGGGTTTAGAAAACATATGAGACATATAATGAGGAAGAACTGAGAGGGAGGTGCAGGTGAAGAGATGAGAACTATCAGATCATTGAGTCTGGACTGCACTTTATGAGATGAGTGTACTGTCCAGACTTCACCGTCATCACACGCCCACTGCTTCGCTACACATTCATAGTACTACACGCTGACAGAGACGCCAAATCACCAGTCGTGATGCAGCCTTCATCCACTCATTCAGCTAACACTATTGACTGGATCACCACCCACAGTGCAATCATGCAGTCTCCATCAGAGGTGAGTCACGCATTTGGGAAAAATCAGTTCTGACCTTTGCACCAGCACATTTTCCAGATCCTAAACTCTGAAAAAGTCAGAGCAACAAAGGGGAGCCTAACGCCATCACAATGAAATTTATTCATAGTTTGGGGTTGGGAGAGTGAGGGGAAATTATCGATTTACTTGAACCTCACACAGTCAAAGGACTTTTCTGGAACTTTTAACACAAAATGTAAAGTATTGTAAAATGAAAGCAATTCATTTTGTTCCGCCAAATAAAAATAAAAATTTCTTGACTCAGTAGAACAACCTTTCACTGCAATTGCAGCATAATTTTTTTTATCTGTTTATTTTAAATATAACTGCTTTGCATGTCTAGAAACTGAAATGTTTGCCCAATTCTTCTGCCAGGTGAACTGCAATGTCCGACTTTATTACTGGTTCTCAACTTGACATGTCTGGACTGACTGTGTCGCTGAACACATGAATATGTTTTGATCTAAAATAATTCTTCTGTTCCTCTGACTGAATGTTTCAGGTAATTGTTTGATTGGAAAATTCACTTCCACCCAAGTCTCAAGTCTTTTCCAGCTTCGAAGTTTTCTTACAGGACCGCCCCGTATTCAGCTGCATCCGTGTTTCCACCAACTTTTCTTCCAGCTTTCTTCTTCCCCCGTTTAAGAGAAACCTAACCTGCATGATCCCGCTTACACCATGTATCACCATGATGATGGGGTTTCCGCAGCGATGTGTTGTGTTTCTCTCTTGCCACACTGTTCTGGTTTCAGTCTGCTCTCATTTGTCCGGAGCACAGACCTCTAGAATGTTTATCCTTCTGATTTTATAGCTTGTGCCAAACTGCACAGAACGTCTTATGGATTTTTTAAAAAAGATTTGGATTCTTGAAACTCTTTCATGAAGGCCAGGTTTGTGGAGACAAATTGCAAGACAAATTGCCGTCTTGTCCACTGATCAACTTACGTAAGCCGTGGATCTTGGCAGCTCATCTTGGCGTCTTCTCTTGATAATGCTCTGCTTTCCCTGACTGCCGAGGTAGATTGCCATGTCTTGGTATTTGCACTTGAAGATGCCGGTGGAACGTTTCTCAGGGTGAGTTGCAGGAACTTTTGTTTTTGAACACAACTAAAATGCATAGTATCTGCAGCTGTGCTGAATGCGATGAGGCGGTGACAGATCTGCGCTCCACGCGGACTAACTGCACCTTAACACCCAAATTAAAATTATTTATGCTGGACCATCTACAGGCTGAAAGAAAATGTTTGTTTTTGCCAATGCAACTCAAGCATATTTTTCTTTTATTAAGAAAGGAACAAAGACAATGAGTTCAGAGACTAATATTTTCATTTCAGGTACTACATAGCAAGATTGTGTGGCAATTTCAAGTTTGGTGGACCGTGAGTGTTTGTTTGGGCTAAGTGATCCTTGGCCTCTGGAAAAGTTTGAGAAACACTGCTCTAGATGGATTTTGCAGGTAGATGTAAGAATAGCTACTTGAACAATGCAGCCAGCCTCACTAAACATTTTCAGTGCTCTTGTAACTGTTAGAAAATGGTAAGAAGCCAGGAGATTTTTTTAATATATTTTTTTTTACATTACCTTGGGCATTTGTACATATTTACCCTTTGGCTGTGTTGCAGGCACAAAACAGCCAAAGGGTTTTATTGCTGCATTTAAGGCATGGTGCAATTCAGGATAATTGTGGTAGCTTTAAGGAAATCCCCAAAAAAGCCAGAGCTTTTTCTTACTCTGAGCCAGAGACCATAATAGTCACACCGTTCTTCCAGTCTGACAAGGTTAGATAACGGTCTTCTTTGTGTCTTTGTGCTCATTATCTGGCCACAGTGGGGATTTTTCTCCACAAAGTGTGTCGGATGAATGGAAAGCTACTTCTTCCAAACTGAGGAGACTGCTTACCGTATGTGGTGGTGTGAAAGTGAAGCACAGCAAACCTGAAGAGACCTGAGCAGTTGCAGTCTGTCAGTGCAAAAACTATCAGTAAAGAGAATTTATAATCTCCAATGTGAAATTACAAAATGCCAGTTACAAAAGACAAGTTATTTTTATCGGAACATTTGCTTCTTGAGGCCAGTAGATTTGCTTTTGTCTCTTGTTGACTTCAGTATGACTTTTCACTTTTAGGTAGCGTAAACATGCAGTCGTACATATTTCAGTGTGAAATATGTAGAAATGAGTAGGTCATGTGTTTAATAACCTACTTTAATAGTTGGTTATTATTATTATTTGACCAAATGTGTATTAAAATGTGACCAACATTATATTTGAAGGCATGCAGTATTTCTACGTCCTTTCTGCACAGATCTATTCCCACAATTGCAAAACCTATTTAAAACATTTCTTATTAACCCACCGTTCCTCTGATTTGTTCAAAACCTTCATTCTTGAAATCGGACAACCTCATGCAGTTTTCCAGCTCTCTCTGTCCTTAAGTCGTTTTGTCCCTCACAGCTCTGTCTGTAGTTTACCTTCTCTATCTGTGCAAAGCCCTCCTCTCTGGCTCCCTCCCACACTCCAGTATCTTTGCCTTTTCTGCCGTATCTCCCTCCGTGCATATCTGCCTCCCTCGCTTACCTTCTTCTGCTCTCAGTCTCTGTCGCTCTGTCTCAGCTTGGCTGAGCAGATAAAGCCGATATGTTCATGAAGGCAAGCCAGCAGCTAGCTTTCTCCATTTCCTCTCTTTCCTGTCAGACAAACACACAGTCACCTGGGATGATGCAATCACATATGCAAAGACACGCGAACACCAATGCACACAGAAATCTGCCAGTGAATGTCCACATGGGTAAAGACTCTGCGTGGTGCAGGATGAAAGTTTGTCTAATTTCCACACATTTGCAAAAGTCATGGAAAAAGTGAGAAGGAGGAAGAGAAAGACAGGAGCAGAGAGAAGGATAGAAAATGAGAAGAGAGGGGAAGGAAATGTATGCATCTAATCAGCAAAACGGGTCAAACTCATTAAAACCAATAAAAGAAGAACTCTAATTGCCCGAACGTAGCGCCGCAAAATGTTGCAGCGCAGTGAAACCTTGGGTTTACACCACTTAGATTATCTGAGTCTGAAATAAATCTTACACTGTTTAACATGTTGACCGGCAATCATGCAGAATGCACAGCCATCAGATTTAATGTAACACGTGTTGAAATATAGATGAGGACATCGAAGCGGCGAAATCAGACATCAAACAAGTGGATCAACAAATTAATGATGAGAAGATCTGTACAGCATGTTGCAGTGAAAAGCACTGGCAGCAGTTCTAATAAGTCTAGCAGGCCGAGAGTCCCATATCACATAGAAAACACATTTTACCAGTGCCATAACCAAACAGTCATTCAGCTTAAATCATGTTGTAATGTAAATCCAAATCTATTCTACTTTAATTTCTCAAGGAAGTCTTCAGTGTAAATGTAAGTGCATTCTGTCCCATACAAAATAAATCATCCCACATAGCATTTTAGGTCTTGCCATAGAAAAGACCTGATGACAGTTAATCATTTAAACACCGTTTACTTATTTATTTATTTTTTTAAGTTTAAACATGCCTATTTTAAAACGTTGAAAAATAAGTTGATTTGAATGGAAATTCAAAGTGGTGGGTGTAATACAGTTGCTTTTTCTTATTTCACATTGATAGGGGTGTAATTGTTGTTTACAAAAAAATAAAAAAATAAAAATATTGGTGGCTTATTCCTGAAGTGGTGATGTCAAAGTTAGACAAATTATCATCCGGCTGGACTAAAGCAACAGCCACAGGACAACACCCATTAGCTGCTACACCTTATTAAAGCTCTAATCGAGGCTGTGTGCTCCAGTTCCTAGCCAGCCTTGTTATACTCAGAAATAGCTTGCAGCGGCTAGATGACATTGCAATCAAACAAGTGCAATCAGTTGATGGCTGGGAATGAGACAGTCACCTCTCTTCAGAGATGTCAATACGTCTGGAGGTGAATTTAGGAAACATTGTTGACAAGATTAAGATTCACTTTGACCCAACAATACAACGACCTATCTTTTGTCTGTACGATGAAATTAAACTTGCAAAAGTATTCTTACCCCAAGAAGATTGTCACATTTTGTCACATTACAATAACACATTTTATGTAGATTTTATGTAACACAAAGCAGTGCAGTGAAGTGGAAGAATATGACAGCGTGTTTTGTGTACTAAGCATGTTAAAGCATGTTTTAATCCTTTATCCATAAATGTAAACAGCTAAAAATCTACTACGATATGACCGAACACCTGCTGGGCAAGAGCATGCATCAGAAATGAAGCTGAGAGACCCATGAAGGATGCTAAATTCCACTTTTGGTTTTGCACTTTGCAAATCGAGAGTTTATCGAACAGTAGTGAGAAGAAAGTCGCAAGAACACCTGATTGCCTCACAGCAGATGTGGAAAAAGGATGAGAAGATTAAGTGTTTTTGGTAATAGTCATCTTTATTTACAGTAATCGGACAGGAAACAAGCAGAGAGAAAAGAGTGGATGACATGTTGCAAGAGCCTCAAGCT